GAGTCCAGGGCACAATTAAAATGGCTTCCTATCCATAAACGTCGACATCTACATGGCAATTTTTTCCTTTACTTTTTGCTGTTCAATCCTCTTGCTCCTCCGTATCTCCGGGACCGCATTGAGTATCTCAATCCACGCGACAACTCAATGCCGATATAATAAATAATTTCTTCTTAAAATACCTCTTCATTCATCTTGTCGATATCGAAAATCGAATCTTTCACAGTGAAGGCAGTTAAACTATGGAACTCGCTATCTCGTTGTTTACGTGTAACGAAGTAGGGTAGCTAGGTAGGTCCGTACAATAGAGTGAAAGAACATTTTTAGTATGTAATATTATGTAATTATTTTCAGTATCTAAATATCTTAATTTTTAAGTTATATGTTAGTACTTTTATAGTATATTTATTTTTATATTTATATATTAGTATTATTTATGTATAAAACTATAATATAGAGGAGATATATGTTTATAGAGCAAAAGTATATTTAGTTGTACACGCCTTCCCACTCACCCATCATAATCTGTCTGTAATCATATGTCAGGAGTTTGCTAGTAGAGCTCGCTTTTGTACGTTTATTTTAAATCTTAACTTTTGTGTGCAATAACTCTTAAATTGTGTACAATAAAGAATAAAACAACCTCACAGAACACAGGCTTTGAGTGGAGGTGCGTTCTGCGTTTCTTCTAGTAAGTGAGGAAACGGGGGCCCACTTTATTAACAGGTGACAACGCATTTAAGCCCTACGAGTGTTGCAAATGTCCGTGGGATGCGGTTATCGCTTAAAATCAGGTGAACCGCCAGCTCGTTTGCCACTTTCTGACATAAAAAACATATATCATTTAATTTTATTTGTTCTCTGAAAAGTTTGGGGCAAGGCGAAAAACGTTCCATCATTTTTTCTACAAATTTTAATTGTAGTTTTGCACCTTGACCTGCCTAGTCTACTAGTATTTTTACTTGTACGAAATTGTTGGAGTAGGTACTCTGAGACCAATGATAAAGTTGTACTGTTCAAGCAGTACTACGCCACAGTACGATCCCGTTTATATGTTCAGGTGATACCGATATAATGCTGCACTGATTAGTGTGAGCAATCAAAGAAATTGCTTATACAGCTTGGCTTAAAATAAAAGCAAAAAATATTCTACTTAGCTGTAATTTGTACTAATGTACTCTGTTTTTAAGATGTATTATAAGTAATACCAGCGCCGGATTAAGCAAACGCGGGACCCGTAGCAAATTCTTTCAAACAGCCCTTGATCTGTTCTTTAGTATAAACTGGTAAACTAACAATTCAATGCTCTTAATTATTAATAAGTTTCACTCAATTAATTATTAATAAGTTGCGCGGGGCCCGTAGCAATTGCTACTCTTGCTACGTGATTAGTCCGGCACTGTGTAATAGCTACATACTTACTAGTTACAGTAAGTTATTTTTGAATAAAGGTGATCTTTTTCATTAATTATCAATTTTACTGCTACGTGGTTAATCCGGCACTAAGATATATATATATATATATATATATATAGATTAGTATATATATCATACCTACATATAATACATTTGTAAATGAGTTTATTATGTGACACATTTTTACTTTTACAGCCTAAAGTATAATAATGATATTCCAAACTGGTTTCTATAAAAAAGATTTCTACATAACTTAATTAAAAGGAATTTCTAATCGTGGAAATAAGCATTTCAAGCAATAAAAATTTGTATCTTTTATAAACTTTTCTTTGTACTGTAATTAAGTTAGGTAAATTAGGTGAGGTAATTTATTATTATTGTTATTATTTAATTTTTTATATGTAGTCGAACACATGGTCATAAAAATTGCTATGCAGTAAGCATAGTTAATATAAATTGTATGTTACAAATACTGGTAATGTATAAAATAGCCAATAAATAAATAAATATAAATTACTTTTTTCTTTGTCAAGTGCGTATACCGACGTATATTACGTTTCGGACAAAACAAGATCGAAGTGAAGCGTGAGTTAAGTACTTAATTTAAGATGCTCCAAAGGTAAGTGAAGAATGTTTTAACCCTACGTAGAGCATACAAAATTTTTAGATTTTATATTAAAGTTGGGTTAATGTCATTGTGATCTTTATAATAATTATTTAAGTTTTTGAATGAACATTAGGAATTCTTCGTCATTGCTTAAACCTTCGTTAAATAAAACTATTTAAGGTATTTAGCCGCGTTAAACTATGCTTATAATTCTCGACTTTTCAAATATTTTACAATAGTCACTGTACAAACTGATTTTTATTACGTTCCTTGAGCCATAGGACATATTTTTGCTACTTTATTTTAGCTCTATATTGGTAAAATGCTTAGTATGTCCTACGTCCATTAATTTTTTTACCCCCGAACCAGGCCGTGCTTTACTACTATCTTACCAGGGGTAAGTAAAGATTTAATTTTAGATGCTAAACGCACTAGCTCAATAATAGCATATTCACTCTTGCTTTCAAGACAACATCATATGATAGGACGGGAAAACTGATATTGGCAAACTGTTTCAAACTCCTTTGATATATGATGTCCATATTTTTTAGTCACTTGACTTTACAATAACGATATGGGATCGATAAAAGACGACAGTATTTCTAAATAAAATACTTTCATCTTTTATAGATCCCTTATTTCCCTTATACTCTTTATATGAGAAGGTGACAAATGAGCTGGCGGTTCACCTGATATTAAGTGCTAACCACCGTCAATTGATAGCTGCAACACCCGTAGGGTTGCAGATGCGTTGCCATCTTAAAATAAAGTGAGTGAGAAACACAATAATAAAGGAAGTGTGACACGGCACGGTACTTATCCGGATCGACCAGCGGATTCTTGCAACATTCCACCATATAGAATAGCTTTTGGATAACAAAAAGGGGTAAAATAAATACTAGACTACTTATGAGTTAATTAAATAAACTGCCGCGGTATTTAAATAGGAAAAATGTAGCTCTTAATTTACTTTGACTCTCCCAAACATTATTGAAGCCATACATTTCTGTATTAATCATTGCCATTAAGAACTTCGTCCTTTAAATAAACATTCAATTTTATTTCTGCCCGACGCGACGTATAAAAAAACGCTGAGTCGCCGTTGCGAAAGGGCTTACGTTAATAACATGAAACAAATGGTTACGAGCAGCCTCCTTGACACTTTTTGCGCGGGACGTCGTAAAAGTTCAAGAGTGCTCTTAAACAAACATCAAGTACCTATCAGTTCAATGACGTGTTTCCCTATAATAAAGCATATTTAGCTATAAAAGGATTAGGATTATAGAGCAATTTTATTGCCCACGCTCGCCGATATGGGTCGAATATTGTATAAAGCCATTAAATTCCGTAAGTAGATATAAGCCCTACTATATTTTAATAAGGGACCGCTATCGGAACAAGAATATTAAAATATTGGACTTCTGTATCTGATATTGTAGTAACCATTGACAAACACTATAGAGTTCTATCGCACCTTAGCTGTAGGGTCCCGTTATCTTTAAAAACAAACCATTGTAGTTGTAAAAATATATTTTTCGTGACTTAAGTGGCTGCCGTTGCCCTCGGGCATACACAACACCCGTGGAGTTGTGGTTACGTTAATTACTTTTAACGCCCGCCAAAATAACTATAAAAGTATATAAGCATCATTTAAAAGATAAACGTAAACAATCATCGTATTGGGAAAAACTTTACTTAACATTTTGAAGTTATAAATCGTGAAAAGTCGACGTTAATAGGTTAAAATTTCAAATGTATAACGTAAGGCGGTTTCGCTATATAATTAAATGACGTCCACCTTTTTATACACAAAGTTAAATATTCTCTTTTCCCTCTCCTCTATGCATAATTGCATATCTAAACCATTCATCCGATCCGATTTGATGAAACTTTGGTGACTGTTTCTGTCAACCCCCGTGAAGGCTCCTGACCTGAAAAAGGTATTTGACTTGTTTGTCAAAAAATATAAAAAGTCACACATTCAAAATACGGGCAATATTAATTACAACTAGCAGCTATATATTATATTTAGACCAATAGACGGCAGATGGGGACTAAATTTGTCTATAGACCTTAATCATTTCCATGTAAAAGTATGAAGGAAACAAAAGAAAGAAACCCTGCAAGAAAAAGTGTTTTTTATTAGTAGCGTTTGGATTACCTTATTTTTCTTTTTTCTTTATTTTCTTTTACTTATATACAGGCAAAGATAATGTAATAAGTACGATCATCTTGAGCAACACATATATTAGGTAAATACATTTATACTTATGTTTAAAAATCATCAAAAATTTTATTTTTTTATGTCTAATATTAGTTATTAATAATATAATTGTATTACTTTATTTTTGTATTTCTATTAATCCTCAGCGTTTGTGTTTTTACATCAAGCATGCTTAATGTAAGTAGGTGTATTAGTATTAATTACTTATTTATTCTTTATTGCATTTACCTCAAGTAAGCATCACAAATAGCGAACCCGAGACATGGAGATTAAATACTTATTAAATTTCATTTCAATATTATAGTTTATTTCTGTTCTTAAATTTTGTTTTAATTTGCTCTGCATGCGAATTCATATGCGCATTATTGTTTAACATAAATTTTTCGTCGCTTGTGTCATCTTTTTGTCTTTAGTTATTAGAAACGCTAACCGTGTTATGATCACTTATTCGCAAATTTCGCATACGTTCTATAAGAGATATACCCACAAATTGAACGCTACTACTCGACGAAACTTTGAACGTGAAGTAGATAGCCACTTAGAGATATCTTTACTTTACATTTGCTCCTGCAGAGGTCATAATAACAGTCGTGTGGGCGACTCGTCTGGTAATGCAACAAGGGGCTACCCCCTTGCCTCTAATGTGTTGGTTATGTTTCACAGCACGGGGTAGATATCGTTTGACCACTTAACAGCGACGAGCATTAAAAGAGTGATCGCGCGACACATAACTATATCTATACTGATCCAAGTATGGATTCTCTACCAGTCAACCCGGGGCGTGAGGAGAAATCGTGGTATTTATGTACTTAAATATGTAAAGCCTTAGTTTGTTGAACATATTTTTAGTATAAGCTATTCTAGTCTTCATCTTTTTGAATAAGTGTGAAATTTATTTAAAAAGACGAAGACGAGGTTAACAGCTTTCACCAAAGTTTAAATAAGCCGCATTATACAACCTTTTATTAAATTCCAAAATGATTAACGAAGAATATTTGTTGATTTTAATTTTGTAGGATCATATCTAACTACTTTAATGATTTTAATACCAAACAGTTGTTGACAGTTTTAAGGCATTACATTTAACCGGAACCAAGCTAAATTTTATGCCTTAATAAATAACTAAATAAACACATTAAATTTTAACCGTGACTTTATGCAGTAGGGCCCCAAGCGGCGGCCTCTGCTATGTCACGAATGGGTACCCTCGTCCAAGGAAATACCACGACCTCACAGAAGACTGACGTGAAGTGGAAGTGTCACACTTTTTGCTTTTCCTCTGGAGAGGAAACTGACACGTACTATTTCAAAAAATTGACAACACATCTACAGCGTCACAGGCATTGCTCCAGTCGGGTTCCAGGCTGGTCAAGGAGAACCCACACTACTGGACGGACCTGTGGTGTAAGTTGTTAAATTCCAATGTGGTGTATTGAGCCTTCTCTGGATGCGTGCAGGGGTGCAGGGGCAGGTGACATAGGTGGAGCCACTCTCTGTGTACCTTAAAACCGACATGGAGTCGTAGGGGATGAAGAGTGTAGGTATTGCGTTTCACCACTCTCCCTCCACGACTTCGTATGGCTACACCGCTGTTGCAGCCGTGGTGGAAGACTGGGCGACACCATACGGTGCAGTCATTGCGTCGTCGTCAAAAAGACAGTCTTCTGGAACAATTTTACCGAAGGACCACCGAAACCGTACCCAGGTGATTCGTCCACCGGTGGTGGCACAACGATATCGACTGTGCAAAATAGCTGAACTCACGCAAAAGGATGAGAAGCGTTGGCTGCAAACCGAACAAAAGCCGATGACGCCGCCCGTCTCTCCAGAAATGCAGTTGACAACGAAGAACGATGGCCCTGGGTCCGACTTGCCTACGTGCATCAGAATTGGAATGTCTCGTCGAAAGACTCGCACACGAAGAGGAGGAGAGGTCAAAATACGAGACCCTCGTCGGAGCAACGGCATTTGTCGACATACGGATACTCGAAACGAAAACATAAACCGATTACAACTTCCCAGCAGATCCCAAAATCAAGTAAGTTTTACCGTTTGGATCAAATGTCCGGGGAAGGAATGCTCAAAGTGTGGCCCGTAATAATATAAAGAGACTTAGTAAACAGTCTCGCGTTCACCGCCGAACACGCTGTTCTTTATCTATCTTGTAGTCACTTACTCACTTGTAGTTACTTAGTAAAGTGCGGTAGCGCAGTGTCGGTCATTGTCTTTTTCTTATTTCTATCGCCTCACTGCGACGCATTATTGGACGGTGAATATGGTTAAAATAGTTTCAGATTTTATTATTATATATTCTTTATTGAACACCAAAAAAACATGAAAGGAAATGTTACAGAACTATAAACTTAAGAGGTATAAACAATAAGGCGGTCGTATCGCTAAGGAGTGATCTCTTCCAGACAACCTTGTGGTTAAAAATATTTAATTTGGACAATGGTAGGTGGTGTAAATGATAAACTTACATACTAATATTTAAATAAACTAAACGAATATGTTGTATTTTTGTATAATAATAATATACTAATATATACGAAATAAGATCCAATAGACATACATAAATCTAAACATATACTGTACAATAACTTACAAAAATATATACAGGAAGAAAAGAATAAAAAATAAATATACAAATGTCGTCGGTGATAATCAGCTTGAACACAGTGACAGATAATAATTTTTAACGTCAGTTTTAAACTTACGTAACGTTTTTGAGCGCTGGATGTGTGGAGGAAGCGCGTTCCATAGGCAAATGGCTTTGACCGTAAAAGAGTTCTTAAAATAATTGGTCCGGAAAGTATGCGGGGTGATAATGAGTTCACTGGCTGATCGCAGAACTCTTTCTGGTCTGTCATGACCAAGAAATTTAAACTGTTCCTTCAAATAACTCGGAGTCATAGGATTGAACAAAACACAGTACAGAAGAGAAACAATATGCAGATTCCGGCGAAGGCGGATGGGTAACCACTTGAGCTTTGTACGATATTCGGAGACATGGTCATACAGTTTCAGATTTTACTGTTATCACAGCCTTTACTTTTTGGAGAGCACGGAACTGTAATACCCTGTATATAGCACCCGAATTTCGCTACCAGGAGAACATAATAAGTTACTTTATAAAGGGAATTTGCAATCAAGTTTTCTTCCTGGTTACGTATTTATCATTAATGAAATTATATATATTCTGCTCCGACAATAGTCGTCCTGCCTGTTAAGCCAAGTAAAGAAACATAACATAAAACGAAATTTATCAGGATAGAAGGAAAAATACTTATTTCCTTTTATTAATATCAAACTATGAAATATTTGTTACACGAAGAGAAATCTCGAAAAAAGATACATGATTATTTAAGTTCGCTATTTAAGATCAACAATACGCCAAATAGAGTGAAAAATTTTCCATTACAGCTAATACAATAATAAACATTAAAAAAATTATATTATTTGCAGAAACCAGCTTTTAGAATACCTATAATTTAATTTTAATGTTACTTTTAATTGCATCACTCAATTAAAAGTAACAGCTTACACGTTTTAACTTTGGAATGAACAATTATATTTAATCTGTATATAAATTTCTCAGATTAGGGATGCTGAAAGTCACAAAATATATCGATATTGGTAAAAATATCAATATCAGCCTCCATTCGAAGAAAAAATATCGATATATTGATATTTTCTTTTTAGGCTCTGATGTCAAGAAAAAAAAAAGTATGCCAAGTGCCAAGGACTCACGAGAAGCCCGGGTCGTGAGGAACATCCTCGACACCCGTACCTGCATGTCTTCGGACAAGTAGAAGACCCCGGTGATGGTGGTGGCCAACCATTACATATTTGAATGTACGGACTCTGTCCAGGATTCGAATTTGAAAAAAAATATCGTTTTTGATAAGATTTCGAAATTGAATATTTTATATCGATATATTGGATCGAAATATATAGGTTACAAATATTAATATATTTTATAAAAAATATCGATATATCGATATTTTTTCGGCATCCCTATCTCAGACAGACGCGGCGGTGGGACACGAGAAACTTTATTAGTTTAGAGTTAATCATATTTCTCATTTAAATAAATAATGTAAGATATTTTCAACATTAATTTCGATTATTAGAGTATCAAAAATAATTTCGTATTAAATAATAATACCGATCTTATTTCAGGGCCCGAAATAAGTCTCCATCGGCTGCAGCGGAAAAGGATAAAAAGAAGCCAAAAGACAAAAAGAAAAAAGAGGAATCAGGATCCAGTAGTAGTGATAGCAGTGGCAGGTATGTATTTTATCCTCAATGTATTTTATGTCTTCAAACAATGTTATTTTTTTTGTTATAGGTTATTTATTTCTTAACTGTATATACATTCGTATGTATGCAATACAATAATTAAATCCATTGGTAAAATTATCAAAATAATTTTTGTGCTTGAAAATATCAACTTATATCCCCAGGGTTGGCTTATACTAATAATTTTGGTGGCCATCATCATTAATTCAGCCTGTTTGAGTCCACTGCTGAACATAGGCCACCCCCACAAACTGCCACGAAACATGATCCTGAGCCACCTGCATTCATGGACTCCCTGCACACTTACACTTGTGGACATAAAAAACAATAATTATTTATATTGAGTAAATGCATAATGATGTAGTCATCTTTGAACACTAGTCAAATGTGCTTAAAACATTAGCAAACTGAATATAGTGTTCAAGAAATTAACATAGCTCTTAATTTGAAACAAAATAATGTTTTAATCTATGATATTTATAAGAAATGCAAGTAAATTGATAACTTATTTATAGATTTATCTAGCTACTACTTTTTAAATCAATACATGACTAATGTGAGGTTCCTCTATGTACATTTATTTTATATGATATTTTGGAAGATACAGCTATAGAACTTATACTGAACACACTTTATATTTTCAGCTTTGACCAATCGTTTAATAGTTACCACCAACAAAGTTGTTTGGGTTTGTGTTTTATTAAACTTGATGTAGCAAATGTATTATTTCTAATGAGGGTTAAGGTCAAGCAGACAGCTGGTCTTAAAAAAACGAGCTGTTACCGTTAATAAAATGATTCACATGTTATTTCAACACCTCTTAGGTGGGATAACATAGGAGAAAGAAAAAGTTGTAATAAATTTATTTAAATGTCATGTAGAATTATAATCAAAAATAATAATTATGAACCAACACAAGAAATAAAATTCTATTAGACATTCAGTCTTCACATCATATGGTATATGATTTGAGAATTTATATTAATTCCACAGGTAACATGCATATTAGCTTGAGAAACTTATAGTATATCATTACTTAATAAATCTATAATTTATAACTCATAACTAATGTTTGTAAGCAGTTCATCTGACAGCAGCTCTTCAAGATCATCGTCACGGTCATCTTCTAGCAGCTCAGGGAGTTCATCTCGCTCATCTTCATCTTCGAGTTCATCAAGCAGCAGTAGCAGTAATAATGATCGAACTAGACCAAAGAAAAAGTAAACATTTTTAATAAGGTTTATATATTTTTTTGTGACATGGTGGCAAACGAGCTGGCGGTTCACCTAGTGTTAAGTGAAAACCGCCCATTGGCATTTACACCAGCTGTAGGGTTGCAGATGTGTTGCCACCTTTTAATACAATGTGCCCTGCAAACTCATTCACCAGAAGAAATGCAGAAGTATAATGACCTCACCTTCTCTTTACGCCGGTCTTCTTTGAGGATGGGATACTGTGAGACCAGCCTATTTGTACAACAGAAAAGACTGTTATGTGGCCCAACTACAGTTAAAACGTAGTTATGTTATCCCAGCTATAAGTAACTGTAATTACTAATGTTGCTAATTGCTATAAATAGACAGAATTTATCCAATCACTTTCTTTATACATTTACTTGCATATGCTGTATAAAATATTATGTTTAATGATGTACCAATTTAATGTCATATTAAGTGGTGAATGCAGAAACAATTTTTATGTGAAAAGGTGCAAGCGAGTTGGTTTATCTGACGTTTATAGACTGCGATAAGTAAGGTTGCAGATACGTTGCCACGGTTGCGGTTATCACTTAGCATCCAAAACTAACAGCTTGCTTGCCACTTTCAAACATGAAAAAAAATATTGTGGTACTTACCCGGACGGACTTGCCTATTTGTACAAAAGCAAAGACTGTTGGGTGATTTCCTTGACATTGATGTGATTTACTTGAGACTTGACATAACTAACATTGAACCAAGTGTATAAAAATATAAAATGTAAGTCTATAAAAAGCAATGAAGACATCCAATTTAGATTAAAGAGAAAATAATCAAGTAGGAATGTAATAGACATTTGCATTCTAATATAGTAATTTTGTTAAGTATCTAATATTCCTTTCTTCTTAGCTTGGTTTCAGTTAAATAGCCATAATTAGAGAAGGCAAAATAACTAGTAAGCTATAATTCTAAAAACAAGCACACTGAAGTTTAATAAATGGGACATCACCTAAAACAACTGGAAAAAATAATTATTAAGTATTATTATTATTCCATTTAGGACAAATTTTAAACAGAGCATAACTTTTCATTAGCTATTGTAAAATTCTTAATACTTTGAATAGTAAGAAATAATAATATATAAAAAAGTATATTAGGTAGCTTAAATGAATAATATTTTCAAGGACTTCTCCAAACAAGAGCCCAGTAAAGGATCGTCGCGAACCAGAGAAAATTCGAGACCGATCACCAGCTGCTGAGAAAAAAAAATTGACCTTGCCAGTCACAAATGACAAAGTGAAAACTAAAGAAAAGCAAGAACGGTAATTAAAAAAAAAATAATCTTTTAAACAATATCAATAGCCAGACTATTCTAACTCTAACTTAACTTCATTTTGTCTTAGTCACAGATGAATGATATTGGTCTTAGGCCAACACTATGCAAAAATAAAAACGATGTAATATAAATATTTCAGATCTCCTGGTCGCAAAAAGCGAGAACGATCACCGCCACCGAGACCAACTCGTATACATATTGGGCGCTTAACAATGAATGTGACAAGGGACCACATAAATGAAATATTTTCTACATATGGTACTGTAAAAGCCGTAGAGTTCCCAATGGATAGGCTGCATCCACACAATGGTCGTGGTTACGCTTATGTTGAGTTCAGCAATGCAGATGAAGCAGAAAATGCTATGAAGCATATGGATGGAGGTAAAATCATTCCTGATCTATCAACCAACTATAGCATGTAGTTATAAATTGTTAGTATAGCATATATTTATTACACATAAACACACTCATGTTGTATATATTTACTAGGTAGTGTCAATTTTGTAACAATTAATTAATGAATTTTCGTAACGATTAGTTATTTTTTAATCTATTCACTGTAGATTGTAACACCATTTAGAGTTATTTTAAAAAAACATTTAATGATAGTGTAAATCGGATGACTAGACAACTCGGCAGTTCAATTTTTTGTTTTCTATTTTCACATTCATCATAAGTTACCAAAAGAGAGACAGTACACCTTTACTGAACTAACACATTTATTAGCACTTATTTGTGAAACACTTATTTTATTGCAACTTCAAAGAAATGTAAAAATTATAGGGTATATATATATATATTGTGTTGCAGGTCAGATCGACGGACAGGAAATCACTGCAGCACCGGTGCTGATACCCACCCGACCGCGCCGCCCGTCGCCCCGTCCCCCGCCTCGCCACGCCCCACCCAGGCGACACTCGCCGCCACGGTACACTGCTTCTTCTTCTTTTTTTAAGAGATCATTTAGGAAATATAGAAAATATATTGAACAGAGTAGGAAAAAACCTAATAACCTACAACAATGACAATCTGTTATATGTATATTACACATAAAAGCTGTATAGAAAAGTAATGTTTACCCTTCTGAAGTTATAACTTTCTGGTTTCCATTTTTTGGTTATACTCAACTTTTTTTTAATATGTACCTATATACACCGCTGTATACTATTAAATACTATATATTTCTTATGCAGATCAGCAGATATGCATATTAGCACTGACATTTTATATAAGTTGTAACTACTGTGATAAAGCACAGCAACAGCTTCTGCTGTTGCTATAATGTGTAATTCTGCTGTTGTATTTTCTTGTCCACATGCTGGTCCACTCTTGAAAATGAGAACAAAACTGAAACCCAACATGTGTCTATGCCATCAATGCACACTAATAAGTCATCTTTTCTACTAGAGAAACTACTCTAACCGAGCTCTAGTATCCAGACCCGCAAAAATGCTTGGTTTGGTTTTCGTTTACGCAAAAGTGTGACATCGTGCACTACGCAGGTACAGGCGCCGCAGCCCGCCACGGCGCCGCTCGCCGCCGCCTCCCCGTAGGCGCCGCACTCGGTCGCGTTCCCCGCGCCCGGTGCCGCGCCGCCGCCGCTCCAGGTCTTCATCCTCTTCCTCGCGATAGTGCCACACCCACACAGACGCTGACCGACACACACACACGCACGTATACATGAGACAGTAGCTCGATTGATATTGAACATTTTATGAACAGTGCCTAAATAAATGGCCCTGTTCCCCTTGTTTCAACAATGGTACACATTGAGGCATACATGACATTCCACAGAGAACAATATAGGTAAGTATATATTATGTCAAAACACTAATGTTATGCCTCCCAAATGTAAAGTGGTTTGAAGGACAGGTAAGTATAACCTTGTCACTTTGCTTTACTCTTTGTTGAACTTTACGTGTTTAAGAATATATATTAACTGGAAATTTCTTGTTATAAAAGCTTGCAAAATGGGAACTGAGCAGAGTGAGTGATCAGATCAGTGCTAATAAACTCTCAACATAAAGATGACATTCATATAGTGAAGTGCAAAATATGTAGTCTGTAAAATTTTATTTGTAAAAGGACAATTGACTTTTGTTAATAAATATTGAGAGGAAAATGATTTTTATTTTGAACTCAATAGTTCTCAATTTATTCATAAATTTGGGTATGACATTGCCTTGTTCTATGAAAGTAAATGTAATAATATATTTTTTTTGATAAACACTTATTTAATAAAGACAGGGAAAAACATTTATTCTATATATTCATCTTCATTTAATGATTCTTCACAGCAACTCTTGGACCCAATTATTTTACAGTATGAGATATAATCAGTTGCAAGGATTTTTCCTTTGTATATGTAACTTTTATTTAGAAGAGGCAACTCTTGGACTGAACTGTAATACGAAAAATGATTAAAGAATAATTAATGAATTACTTATTTAATGTTTTGTAAAAACATGTTCTGTTTAATTATTAGTTGCCAAAAAAAATTTCTAGCCAACTGAAGTAAGAGCCTGATGTTTATTTATTAATCATTAATTCTTCTTGACTGTTTTCAACCTAAGTAACTAAGCTTAAGTATCATGTAAGCATATTAAATGCAATCAGACAGCAGAACATTTACATTATTATCAGGGCTAGATTTTGCCTTGGAAAAACTGAATATTATTAAATTATACATACGGATATTTAACATTCATGTTTTTTGGGCCTCTAACGGGATTCCAGGCAGACACTGGCGTTTTATTAGCCAGCATCAACCCTGCAACTGCAATATATAATCCATACTCTTGACAATACTTTTCCTAAAACAATAACCAAAATTAATCAAAATTAAAGTACAGTTAATAGTGTGATTAAGTGTTACTACACAAGTGTTAAAAGAAAATATCTATATTTAGATCATTTCCAAAACATAAATGTAAACAAAAGTAATAAAACACATTAAAAAATGGCTATAATAAAAATATTAAAATATTTTTTTTCGTATTAGATAAGGGGTTTGTTATCGAAATATCCTGAATATAAGATATAAAAAAACAAAGTGGAGAAATATTCTCATTTAGTTGTTACCTTCATTACAATGTATACATTAAAATAAATTTGGGGTCTCTAGAGGCTTTGTTCTAAATGAACTACTTTTTAATTTTAATAAAAATTCTCTGTCAGGTGTACATAGAAAAATATATTGTACTCTGAATGGACAGTGAAGATTAAATATGATTAATATAATATTGAGTTTTATCATTTTGGGAAATACTCATTCATATTATGCATATCTGTTGGCAATGCAATACAGTAGAGTATTCCACTTATTTTTTATGTGAGAAAAGTGTGGCAATCAAGCTGGCAGTTCACCTGATATTAAGTAATAACCATCGCCACATGACATTTTGACGGATGGACATGCCTATTAGAGAAATACCACAGCCTCACGGAAGACCGGCGTGAAGTGGAAGTATGAAACTTTCGTGTTATATCTCGTGAATGAGGTAAAAAGCGCGAGATTGACGTGGGGGTCTTTAGGTATATCGCTCGTGTAGAGCGTAAAGAGCAAAGGTGAGAGGCAGGAGCCTTGTGGTATGCCGGCCGTGAGGCGGCGGCTTGTGGAGAGGGTGCTTTCAACTCGATATCGAAAAGAGCGGTTCGACAGGAAGGCCCGGATTGTGTGTACGAGCCTATTTGGCACTTTGAGTGTGTACAGCTTGTAAAGCAAGCCGTTGTGCCAGACCTTGTCGAATGCTTTTGCGACATCGAAGAAAAGAGCCCCTGTGCTAATATGTTTAGGGTGATGAAAAGGCCTAACCTTTTAGGATATGTTCCGTTAGGCGGAATATTTGATCAGGACAGGAATGTCTAGCTCAAAAGCCGAATTGTTCCGCCGGCAGAAGGCCGTTGGAAAACACGTGCTCATTGATCCTGTTTAATAAAAGCCGCTCGTAGAGCTTCCCCAGGCAACTGAGGAGGCTGATGGGACGATAACTAGAGGGCTGGCTGGCTGGTTTATGCGGCTTGCGAATGTGGATAGCCCAGTCAGTTGTAGTTGTATAGGATGTTACAAATTTTGTTTCTTTTTTAATTAATTAGTTTGTTTGAAAAATATATTTTTTTTAATTATGGATTTTTTTAACGTTTTTATTTTTTTATGATTAGTGGCAAGCTTTAGACGTATGTTCATTTATTGTCGCGATGGTTACACGCTGTATAATAAAGCTTATAATACTGCAATGAATCATAGGTTACTTTACCCTCCATTCAGCAAGCATGTAATCGGCATAACTCAGTGCTGATGCAGCTTTATCAACATCATTTGTACATGAGAAATGTGGGAAGTAGTTCTCTTCAAGAAAATTAACGAAAGTTCTTGGATTACTTAGAAATTGTTCTACAGTATCTTCTGGAGCATGTGTTAATTTCTGCTTTCCATCATCTTCCAATAAAACTGAAATAGTAATGTTTGTTTCCAATCTCTAAGCAAAATATGTATTGAAAAATATCCTACAAATATAAAAAAATATATGCATATTGTTAACTTACTCTTAGGGTTTAATACTCTTCCAACACCATGCAAAATACTCACAGTTTGATCTTTACCAAGTGACATAAATTTATATGTAGTTTTTTTTTTCTTTGTTTTCCCTTTCATTTTGGCTTCTTTAATAACACTTGTCTCTAAACTATGATTTATACCTATGGGAAATACAAAAATATAGAATTTCGTTGTTTTTGGTAGTGGCAACAAGCATGAGCTTCAAGTGATATTTTAGAGCAAACCAATAACACCACAACACCAGTGGGGATACATTGCCAGCCCATGAAGGATCCTAACCCAGAGGAAATTATAAATAGTTCTACTTTACATTGTCTTTCCATCATCTGTAGTTTCACAGATAGCTCCATAGACAATCTGGTTCATTTATACTTTTTTTACTTTATTTAAAGGTGGTAATGCATTTGCAAGCTTAGGGATATTTCAAATGACTATGAGTGGCGGTTATCACTTAACATCAGGTAAACCGCCAGTTGGCTTGCTAACTTCTAACATAAAAAAAAAAGTTGCGTATATGTTACTACTTTACCTTTTAGACTTGCAAAATGTAAATTTAATATAGCAGATCTAACATCTCCTGCTGATGTATTAACAACAGATTCTATAATGTCTGTAGATGGAATGTTGTAAATTGCAGAATACTTTTTACTTATAATGTCAGTTGCCCTCTTCAAAGCAGCCTTTAAGCCTGTTGTGGAGATACTGTTGAATCTGAAATTGTGTAAGTGAGGTTGAGCAATATTAGTTTCAAATCTTATTTCACTTATAAGCTGTAAAGTTTTTGTTTAAAAAAACCATATTTAAAATTGCATATACTATGTTTAAACTGTCACTAGTATTGTCTTGTTAATTATTGTTAATAATAATTCTTTATACTTACACAATGTGATGAATCTTAAATTGCTCTTTGAAACTTGGTGTAAAAAGATTTAATGCTGTGTTTTTATTATCAGAATTATTTTCGGAGCATATGAATACAATGGGAGATTTTGCTCTTTGGCTATATTCCCTAAAAGTCATTTAAATATTAAATCCCACATATTTTACAATAATTAATAAAAAATTCTAGTAACAGCAAGTTACTAAAACGGAGTTTATAGTGTACAAGGGTCTGGTCATAGTCTACCACCAATCCCACCAGACTACTCAAAAATATATTTTTTTTAATTTAAAAATATTATAGTTACTGCATGATGCTTTCATTCACCAATAAGCACATAGTACACCAGCACTTAAAATGACAATGAACAACTTAATTTATGCTACCACAGGGTTTGGAACTCGGGTTGTTCAGGTATGTTTATAAAGTTAAAATATTTAAAAAAAAATCTTTTATTATTTTTTATTACTTACTGTATTATTTTCTATTACTTACTGTAAAACATTTGTGAACTCTGATGGTGTGCGCAAAAAATTGTTAGGGAAATCCTCAACTAAAACCAACTTATTACTATTATTATCTATTAAGGATGTATAATTAGCAGCATTTATTATGAAGTCAGCAAATTTTTTTGATTGTTTCTCTTTAAATTCATTCTCACCTATAAGAAACAATTATTTATTTATTTATTTAGTCTTTATTGCATTTCCTTTAATACGGAACACAATAGGCGGACTTAATGCCTCTAGGCATTCTCTGCCAGTCAACCTATGGTGTGGTGAGATCTTTAGGCAGGTGCAATTATAAAACTTACTAAAATTAAATTGTAAAATAATTAACCAAAATAGTAACAAATACTTTAAATACAAAATTATATAAAAATAAACTACTTATATTCTATAAATACACATATTTTCAAATTAAAATGAATAAATATATAACCATATATTATATACATACTCATATACATATACAATAATCTGATAGTAGCAAATATAAAACAAAAATGGAAAGGAGAAAAAAAGAAAAAACATTATACAAATTAAAGACTTCACATGACATTTCAGGTCTTCAAGAATTATTACTATATTATTCTATAATAATTTGTTGGTTATCTTTGAATACAAAATTATAAGTATCTCACCATAATCTGTTGGTATTTCAATATCTAGTGGTGTAATCCACTCAGTTATTTTGATTTTATGTTTAGCTGCTATGGTTTGTACTGTAGCAGTTTTTCCACAACCTACAGGTCCACTTAAAAGAAGTATACCATAAGATTGCTTACTGGAATTATGTAACCATTGTTCAATTTCTTGGATCTTTTTACTATGAACAGCCAGGTCCTCTACTTTAACTGGATCAAAATTTTTCATCCAATTTTTGTGATCAATCATTGGTGTCTCAAACTTATCTTTGCAATGTGGTGTAGATGACTTCTAATAACAAATTATAAATGTTTTGAATGTTTGTTTAGAATAATAGCTATTCAAAAAGCAAAGAATAATAGCTATTCAAAATTTATAATACGGCATTGTTTATATTGGCATTTACTATGTTAGCCATTTTTAAAAATTGTAATCTTTCCTTATTTATTTGAAAATCAATATTTCCTGATTTTCAAATAAATAAGGAAAGATTAAAACTGTCTTTAGAAAGAAATACTATTTTTTGAAATATGTACCTCAAACGATTTTCTCTCTTTCCTAACTTCTCTCTTCAATTTCTTTGTGGTGTCTTTTTCATTGTTATCAAAATCAAACATAGGTTTAAACCATGTCTTTCCCTGGTGAAAATGTTTAGAAATAATTATCATAAACACAAATTTAAAGAAACTTTAATATTTTGGAGTTCATTCATATACCTTTTGCATTTTAAATTTGCCGCAAACACAAACATTAGTTAAAAAAGCTGCAAATGCAAAGTATGTACAGTAGGGATGCCGAAAAAATATCGATATATCGATATTTTTTTTAAAATATATCGATATTTTAGGCCGATATATTTTGATTCGATATATCGATATAAAAAATTGAAAATCGAAATCATATCAAAAACAATATTTTTATTCAAACTGATTCAAAGCCGTAAAAAGATAAAAATGAACGGAAAAAAACTGTGGTCTATTACTAGTATTGTCGCGGATGCAGTTGCATTTTGTGATATAATTATTATGGTATTTATACTACAGTTTGATGCTTCGTACATTATACAAAGATAGTACAATACATTATAAAAAGATTTAAAAAGATAGTATTAGTGCAAAAAATTTAAAAAGATAGTATTTGTAAAAAAATTATAGTACACTTAATAATTTTGATTTTAATAGGCATTAAATTACTTCTCTTCCAAGTTTATCAATTCTTCAATATTAATTACATTCTTAGAAATTCGTTTTTAACATATCCCCAGTAGGAATAAAATCAGTACAAATTCTACTTTTTTAACATCTTTAATAGTGTCAAAACATAATAAAATGGCGTCTATTGATTGCTACTGTTTATTTCTTAGCTCAGTTTAGAAAATAATAAAATAATCGTACGACATCAATGAACTCTCTTAACTACCTCATAATGCAATATGCAAAGTTAGGTACTCTTCAACAAGTTGACTGATAGTACGACTAATATATTATTAGGTACTTATAATATGGTAAAAAATAAACATAATCCATAGACGCCATTTTATTGTGTTTTGGCAGTATTAAAGATGGCAAATGTACATAACTTTAACTTTGGCGTAATACAATTGTAATAAATTTTAAACGATAGAGAAAAATCACTATTGAATTAATCAACAAATAGAATTCGGCGGTCGCTTATAGTTTTCGAGAAAATAAATATTTAAAACTTGTTATTTTCAATAAGAAAGTCCGCCATTTTATTAATTTGACTTCAAAAACTTAATACACAGTTCTGCCAACATGATAAATATAGGAAGCGGTCGACGTCATGTCCTAGCGATTATTTGATAAATTTTTTTTTGATAAAAATTTCCAACAGTAAGTCTCGTTTTCCGACTCGAAAAAAATTTTAATCGATAGATAAATGTTAATAATGAAATATAATTTAGGTTATAATCCACGAAAACTCTCAAATATTAGGTGCCAATACCAAACAAACCAACAATACGAAACAAAAAAGTCAACAACGCTACGCTATTCATATTGAAATAATTATTATGGACATTTTTTTTAATTTTATATCGATTATAAATCGATTACATTTTTTTATAATATAAAATTTATATTTATTATTGAACGAAAAAATAATGAAAGAAAAATTAAATAACTGATTATTTTCAACGTTATCATCATTATTAATTAACAATACATGTGCAACGTGTAGATATACAGGATGTTACAGAAAGGTGTTGTAACATTTAAAGGCGTGTATATATATCAGACTTTGAATCAAATGGCATAATTTTAAAATACGAATCTAAGCATTTTTTGACGATAAAAATTAAAAAATTAATTAACTGTAACAACCCTGATTGTAGAAGTCACTGACCGCGCATCGGTGTATCACTCCAAACTCACACACGCATACATCTGATCGCCCGACTTATTCCCCTCTCCCTCCACTCCTCGTTACGTCATTACCCCACTTCCCGCTCCTCAAGTTTATCGGTCCCCTCCGCCCGCCCCTCGCCAACCAAACTTTGACAACGACCGCATCGTGCTGCTGGTCCTGACGATGCTCTAATACAATGAAACACCGTGCTTATCATCAAAATTTATTTGAATTTATCGGATTTTGTCACAACAGAAAGACACGAAATAGCTATACTGATAGTCCATGAGCCCTACTTAATATGTTATTGATTAAAGAATAGGTATTCATTATCGGGAAATAAAACACAGACACACTACTTTTACTACGTTTATTTTTCTAAGCAAATATCCGCGTCATACCTACATAAAAACATTTTTTACATGGAATTAATAATAGATTTCATGAGACAATTTCCACTGTAACTTATAATTTTTTAGTATTGAGATTTTGGATTAAAAATTAAATCGCTTGCAATGGAAGGTAAAAACATTTAAGGTTACAACTCACAAATCTTACAACGCCGATAAATTTATTCAACACAACATCAGTGAGATACATTATCATGTTATGGCGGATACATAATACATAATAATGACAAAAATAAATTTCGAATTAAGTAAGTTCAATGTAATTATAAAGTATTAAACAAAATCTTTATTTTAAATAAATAAACTATACCTATACATTCCAATGAGATCAGCGTTTACTAAGAAAACTCGTGCTTATCGTTGTCGGTCGGTTCCATTACGCGATACTATTCTTTCACTGTTATAGCACTTCAGCGCTTGGGATAGTCATTGTCAATAACTTAAAACACACCAAGGTCAAGGGTTGCTTCGTCATTTGCGAAGCTTCGACGCGTATAGGGCGCGGACGCAGACGAGGGCCGATCCTTCCTAACAACTCCTTAACACAACTGGCAGCTGATCCAAATTTATTTCAGCATTCTTGCTTGCTGTCTTTTGGCGTTTCTTCTTATCTTCTTAATACTTATGGCGTCAAAGACTGCCTGTCATCGAAAAAACCAATAATGTAGTTTCAAGGTAAATCGACGGCAATTCTCTCCGCAACACCGAATACCATTAAGCAATTTCTTAGCATATGCATTTCTGACATCAATAACTGATCAATAAATCGAGAATAAAAAAAAAAATCACGAACGTGTCTTCACACCGTAATGTCTAAAAAGTAACTGATTTAAAAGTTTAAATAACACAAACGAAACGACGGCATATTTTATGTTTTTTTTTTTTTTTGGGTTGGATGAGCCACTGTTGGCCTTAGGGGCCTTTACAGATCCGACGGACTTGAGGTGGCCTGACGCACGAGGCGCCTAGCCTGAACCTCGGCGTACTATTATTACGCGTTATGGTGACTAAGCTCGAGGGCTCCCGGGGGAGCCTCGGCTCGGGCCGTCACGCTATTATTATTACGGTTTGGGAGGCCGCCAAGCTCTTAGGGCGCTTTGGCGGGCGCTCCATGGAGTGATCAGGCTCAAGGGTCCCCGAGAGGGGACCTCGGCTTGGGCTGTCACTCAGCACGCGTTTAGCATTCCGATTCGAGGGTGCCCGAGAGGGCCGGACCTCGGCTCGATCGGTAGCTATTATCTGACTGGGGGAATTACTAGTGCTAACATTACTACCACTTCGGAGAGCGTTGGCGCTGGGAGAAGAAGTGGCGGAAAAAAACTCCAGCAACGCTTCTATCATTAATAGGGGAAAACCTGCCAGGTACGTGGCGGAACCTAGTATATGTTTGCCGCACTCGCCGGCGAGTGCGGGTGTGTGTTGATGTGTTTCTTGAGTTTTTTTTGATCCTTTCGATGGCGATAGTCGTCTCATCGTCAGGGAAGTCGAGAACGTGACGCGGTCTTCGGTAATCGCGGCGGAAAATATTTAGCGGCAAGGGCCTGTAGGTGACGGCACCTACGATAAGTGGGTTGGGATGCGCGGCGGCGGAATCGAAATATCGGCGCGACGCCGACTTCAGGAATTGCGCGATGGTGGGCAATTCTAGATCGACATGTAGGTTTGCGCATGAACCAGGGTGCTCCCGTGGCTCTGCGCAAGAATCGATTTTGAATCACCTGAAGCCGGTGTATTTGCTTCGGAGCAATGTGAGCGAAGACGGGGCTCGCGTACGTCATGATAGGGCGAACTACTGCCTTATATAAGGTCACCTTGTTCCGAAGGGACATTTTTGACGTTTTATTGAGGAGCGGGTAGAGGCGACCGAGTACGAAGGCCGCCCGGTTCCTGACCTGGGTCACGTGCTGGGTGAATTTAAGCTGGGAGTCGAGGACGACGCCTAGATATTTGACTTTATTAACCCATGGTACTGGGCTGTCCAAGAGTTTAACGGGGGGTGGAATGGGTATGTTCTTTTTGTGCGCGAAAAGGACTGCCGCGCTTTTGGCGGGATTGATTTCGATCCTCCATTGCCGAAACCAGTCACCGATGGTGATGGCCGCAGCTTGGAGGCGTCGATGGATCAATTCGGGTGTTCTGCCTGTGGTATAGATACAGGTGTCGTCGGCAAAAAGAGCAAGTTCTACATCTTTGACACGCGGCATGTCATTGGTGTAGAGAGTGAACAATCCTAGTCCCAACACCGACCCTTGGGGCACCCCGGCTCGAACGGGACACGTAGTCGAACACACGCCCTCGACGCGATAGCGAAAGGTTCGATTACTTAGGAAGTCTCGTATTATGCATACGAGACGGTCGGACACTCCGTACCCGTATAGCTTGTATACGAGCCCGTTGTGCCAGACTTTGTCGAACGCTTTTGCCACGTCCAGGAAGAGTGCACCGGTGTTGAGTGCGCGTTGACGTTTAGTTAAAATGTGCTCCGTGATGCGGTGCACTTGATGGGTACATGAGTGTTTGGCTCTATATCCAAACTGCTCTGGGATGGGGAGCCCTTTGGTGTCCATAAGGGATCTTAAGCGGGCTAATATTAGTCTTTCAAAGATCTTCCCAAATGTTTTGAGAAGACTTATTGGACGATATGAGGTTGGGAGAGTGGCGGGTTTAGAGGGTTTGAGGAACCCTATGACATCGGCTTCCTTCTACTCGGATGGGAAGAAGCCTTCGGTTAAGGCCGCGTTGTAAATTAATACTAGTATCTGAAGGAGGAGAAGGCTAGTAGGGAGGAGCTTGGTCACCTTATTGGTGATACCATCTGAGCCTGGTGCTTTACGCGGGCGTAGTTTGTTAATGGTGTCTATTAGTTCGGAGCACGTGACTGGGGGAACGGGATCGCGAAGTGGCTCTAAGGCTTTCCTTTCTACCTCTTCGTTCACCTTGCGGAGGTGTTCGGGGTCGATCGGAAGCAGACTGGGGGAGCATTGAGACTCTAGGCTGTCAGCCAGGCATTCGGCCTTCTCTTCGTCCAGCATTGCTGGCGTACCTATCGGACGGACTAGTGGCGGCATGGTTGTTATGCCGTTACCCTTGAGGGATTTGGGAAGTTTGCAGAAGGCTACGTGGGATGGTTTTACTGAAGTTAGGGTGGAGTCCCATCGTTCGTTTCGTGAGTCTGCTATGCGTGTTTTGACCTCACGCTGTAATTTACGTAGCAGTCTACGATTCGAGTCGGTGGGATATCTATCATAGGCTCGAGTGGCCGCATTCTTGCGTCTCAGCAAGTCTCGCACATCGTCTGACAGGGCCCAGCGATGGTCTTCCATCGCCGGGACCTGTCTCGAGCATTGCTCGACGACGGTGTTAACGTGGCTTGTGAGGGCTCGAATTGCGGTTTCCGTGTCCTGTTTGGTATTCAATTCTCTAGGGATTGACTCTAGTTGTGGAGGATTAGGTTCGTTAAATTTAGATTTGATTTTATGACAGCTGATGACAGTTTTGGTTAGGGGAGCGGCTGTTGCTGAAGGCCCTAGCCGGAGGAGAACTGATCGGTGATCGGAGTGAAGCTCGTGTATCACTTCCGGTTCGCATAAGGAGAGACTGATGTTTTTGACGAGTGCAATGTCAAGCACATCCGATGTGTGTCCCTCTACGTAAGGAAAGTGCGTATGTTCGACGGGGGCAGCGACTTCAAAGTCGAGCCTGTCGGATAGCGTATTTTATGTATTGATTGAACTACCTAAGCGGCATTCGGCCGCTTATGTCGGTAAGTACATAAGAAACGTTTGTTGGGTACTATTTCGCCGCTCGCATAATAATGTTACCATGTCTACTGAGTAATATTAGAGGACGGGAGAAAATAATTGGCTATTTAATTTTCAAATCAGCATAGCTATATCACAAAGTTTTTGTAAATCAATATTAAACTATTGCTGGAAGGTCAGATATTCTTTTAATGGTATTTTACCATTGACTAACAAAACATTAAGAATATAGTTGACCTCCTTTAAAATACCACAAAATAATCCTAATCGCTGTTTAGAGCGTTTGGCTCATTTACAAGTATTATTTTAAGCTTAAGTTACTTTAACTATTATGTAGACTATTAACTTCATGAGAAAATGTGAAAATTTCAGAGCAAAATTATTTTCATCTGATGGCAGCTTACAATTTTATTTATTTTTCCTATCAAAATTGTAGCACAAAGTAAAGACTAAGATCTATAAAAATTCGGGATGACCGAACAGCAGAATATCGGGATATTCCACGCGGATCGGCACATCTGGTAACGCTAGTTCTAGCGAGTGCGGTAAATACAAAGGCGGTCTTTGTTAACTGTTTGACGGCGACCATCCACGTGGACTGATGGATTTGAATAGAAGGTCATTCAAAACTCGTGTAATTAATTCGAAGAATCATAACTGTAAACTGATAGTAATGCTTATGGATCCATGAAATAACTTTTTTTACTTTTTTCAGAATACTTTGTACACTGAATAAGTATTAACACAATGAATTTAATAGGTACCGAAAATTAAGTTTATGATGTTATTATGGACTAAAATTTTAATTGACATTTAATAAGGTATTCGTCTATAAGTTTTTTTGGTTCCGCATAATAAAGAAAAAGTTCATGATTTCTTTGCAGATTTTTTTAATTTTTGTTAATGCGCGCGATTTATAACTACACGTGCCGCCACCAACCCAACAGGCACGGAGCCCGAGGGTCGGTGTGAAATCGCATCGCGTTAAGAACGCTAATTTATTTAATACTTTCCGCAAAAACTTTTAATGGTTAAATTAAAAATATTGGCGCGAAACTCCATGCTTTCATTTAAAACAAAAAAAAAATTACAAATCATTTAAAAATATAGTCCAAAATCATTATTTTTTTAAAATTTTATATCTAAATGCTTATTTGTATTGGACATAGTAAAGTCAATTTGTATAAATTTCGTATTTTTTATTTGACCAAAATTATTAAATATGAAACAGTGCCATCTTGTAGATTGACTTATAACTATTTATGGTTATCAGTTATTTGATTAACAACGATATTAGTACGTGTTGTGCCTATTTGTATTAGACAAATTAAGAGTGAACATATTTTTATTCAATAATTTTTATTTCATTTGACCGTACATGTATGTGAACAAATGATAAAATTTTTATTTTTGTTATCCGTGACATCAAAATAATCCATCACAGCGCCATCTGGACAACCAACTTGATAAAAATTTAAATTATAAAATGATCTGTCGTCAAAATTTACTAATGTATTGGGATTTTCTTTCTATAAAGTATTTTGAGTTTTAAAATGCTCGATTCATTAATCTTCGAAATATCATACGAAATGAAATTCGAAATACAGTAATCACTACTTAGTATAAAACAAGGTCGTCCCACTGTTTCGTCTGTCCCTATGTATGCTTAGAGCTTTAAAACTACACAACGGATCTCAATGCGATTTTTTTTTTTAACGGATCTGCAATGCGAAACTGGGACGGGTTTTTTTAAAACATAGAGTGAATAGATTCAAGAAAAAGAAGATTTCGTTCAATTATAAAATAGTCTATGGTTATAAAACTGCATACTTATACATTTTTAAACAAATTAATACTAAAATAAAATACAAGGGTAATGCCACGACATTCGATTAAGACGACGTCCAGCTGTTATATTTTATGAAAGTAAAGTAAAAAAAGTAGGTGGTAAATCAAGTAGGTGAACTAAATGTTAGTTTTTATTAAAATTGAATATTTAGAAAATTTATTTATTAGTTTTAGTATAAAATTTCATGTATTAATTCTCAATTAGTGTATACAAATAGTCTTGCACAAACGTTGCTTTAACTATTTGGGAGCCGGCAGGAGGGAATAATTAAGATGCAGTACAAAGAACAAGCCGTGTTGAGAAAAACATAATCTTTTTATTGTCACTCGTTGCTATAGAAATTTGTCAATAATAGGGTAATGCTAGACCGATGAGAGTAAGGGTGTAAAAGATAAGAGCGGTGCTACACAGTACTCACAGTAGCAAATGAGTCACCACAACTACATAAGCCGCTACCGCTTAGGTAGGTAAATACATAAAATATGATGTCGCTTCCTTTGTGTTACTTAAATTTTCAAATCAGTTACTCTCCAGCCATTTAGGCGTGAAGTCGATTTCATGATTATTATTTTATAGTTATCGATTCATTATTGATAAAAGATGTCTCAGACATAGTCATATGCTCAGTAAATACTACATGATATTATTCCGTGTTGCGGCTAGAACGACCATCGATTTACTTTGAACTTTTCAACTACACCAGCTTTTGACGCAACTGTCGCTTCTACATACGAATTATTTCTGCAAAGATGTTCTGGACGTATACGCGTACTACGGGAGGCTCACCAACTGCACCAGAAGCATTTTCCAAAAGCCGAAACAAGTAAACAGCAAGCAAGAATGCTGAAACAAATTTAGATCAGCTGCCAGTTGTGTTAAAAAGGAGCTGGAAAGATCGCCCGTTTTCTTAGTAAACGCTGATCTCATTGGAATGTATAGGTATAGTTTATTTATTTAAAATAAAGATTTTATTGTTTAATACTTTATAATTACATTGAACTTACTTAATTCGAAATTTATTTTTGTCATTATTATGTATTATGTATCCGCCATAACATGATAATGTATCTCACTGATGTTGTGTTGAATAAATTTATCGGCGTTGTAAGATTTGTGAGTTGTAACCTTCTAAAATGTTTCTACCTTCCACTGCAAGCGATTTAATGTTTAATTTAAAATGTCAATACTAAAAAATTCTAGGTTACAGTGGAAATTGTCTCATGAAATCTATTATTAATTCCATGTAAAAAATGTTTTTATGTAGGTATGACGCGGATATTTGCTTACAAAAATAAACGTAGTAAAAATAGTGTGTCTGTGTTTTATTTCCCGATAATGAATACCTATTCTTTAATCAATAACATATTAAGTAGGGCTCATGGACTATCAGTATAGTTATTTCGTGTCTTTCTGTTGTGACAAAATCCGATAAATTCAAATAAATTTTGTGGATAAGCACGGTGTTTCATTGTATTAGAGCATCGTCAGGACCTGCAGCGCGATGCGGTCGTTGTCAGTTTGATTGGCGAGGGGAGGGCGGAGGGGACCGATAAACTTGAGGAGCGGGAAGTGGGGTAATGACGTAACGAGGAGTGGAGGGAGAGGGGAATAAGTCGGGCGATCAGATGTATGCGTGTGTGAGTTTGGAGTGATAACACCGATGCGCGGTCAGTGACTTCTATAATCAGGGTTGTTACAGTTAATAATTTTTTAAATTTTTATCGTCAAAAAATGCTTAGATTCGTATTTTAAAATTATGGCATTTGATTCAAAGTCTGATATATATACACGCCTTTAAAAGTTACAACACCTTTCTGTAACACCCTGTATAAAATATCAAAGATTTACGCCCGGTTTCTGATCATTGTAGAAATTAACTAATCAGCCGACTTTTGTCAAAAGCGTCGCAACTCCATGGCGCCACTTCAAGTATTGGCTTCGGTGCTGAGGGTCGTGAGTTCGATCCCACACAGGACCAGACCCAGAGATATTCCGATAACTGATCTGTATCAGGGATTCCCGAAGATTGTCAGGCAGGCCGGTTGAAATAAAAAACCTTGTCAAAACCACTCAAGCTATGATAAGCGTGTTCAGTGGGTTATGGATAGGCGAAAGAAGAAGACACTTTTTATTATATGGCAATGATTCATAGTAATAAATGTCATTGTCATTTGTCAGTCAGATCTTTTACGAAGTATGTTATCAGTATCACTAAAGGATAAATAGCTATAAGTTTTGGAATAATAACTAACGATTTCGTTATTTTATGTAAAAATTTAGTATATAGGATTAAACTTTCATATAATATTACTGCTAAACATCAACAAAGGTAATTACTTTTTCAATGCTATACTATTGTACAGCTACTTTTGTAAATGCGCATTTAGTTACGTAAATTATGTTTTTTTTCCTAATTCTATAATATCGTAAGTGAAATAATTCGTCTATAAGCAAATGTTTTAAGTCAGTAAGTGATAAAGTTCATAGATTTACGTCGTAACGTACTGGTTTCAAGTTTCTCAATTAAAAGATGTAGTTATAATTACGTATTAATTTGTGCAGATAATGCAGGCTATTAAAGCTTTCGGAGCTACGGCGCCGTCTACAGTTCTATCAGTATTGAAGAAAGGAGCATTCACACCAGTAATCGGACAACTCCGTCAGACTCACTTACCAGCTCATGATCCTAAAGAAAGACGCCCTTATTCGCCATTTCAAGAAACCAAAAGTACAGCAGAATATGCTGTTGCAAGGCTTGACGACTTGCTTAATTGGGGCAGAAAAGGGTCATTGTGGCCTATGACTTTTGGACTTGCTTGTTGTGCCGTTGAAATGATGCACATTGCCGCACCTCGCTATGATATGGACAGGTATGTATTTGATTTGTTATTCAAAGTACATTATTAATAATAAAATGCAAAAAAAAGTTCCAAGATATTTTTCCTTAAATTTATCTAGATTAGGGAGTTATGTTGTACAATTGTCTGTAATTTTTTATTTACAAGTGTTGAATTAAATTTTCAAATTTAATTATAAAAAATGTATTTTTATTTAAATGTATAATGATAAAATGTATTCAGGTATTGTTTTGTCAACATTTTACAAGACTTAAAAATTTATTGTATATGTTCTAAATGTTTCCATTGCATTATCCAAAACTCCATCTTTTTATTTATTTGCAGGTATGGTGTAGTGTTCCGTGCATCACCACGTCAATCTGATGTCATGATAGTAGCCGGTACATTAACAAATAAAATGGCCCCAGCTTTAAGAAAAGTTTATGACCAAATGCCTGATCCAAGATGGGTTATTTCTATGGGGAGTTGTGCCAATGGAGGTGGCTATTACCATTACTCTTATTCAGTTGTGAGGTAAAATTTCAAATATTATTATATTAGAACAAACTTAATATAAATATGAATCAAAAGTTGTTTCCATTGGTTTCTTTAATTATAAATTATGCCTATAAAACTAGTTCAAGATTGATGAATTTAAAAGATTTACTTGTAGTCTGAATGTATTTCTAGATTTATTTCTAGTAAAATATAAATTTTATTATTAGAGGTTAATTTTATATGAAACTGATTTTATATTTATATGATAGTTTATGTATTAAAATAATTTAAGGATATTCTTAGGAATTCCATGAACAGTGCATGCATTTCCTTCTACCCTTTTTAATTATATATGACTATAATCTTATAAATAAGTATTCTTTATATTAAACCTAGAAAGTCAACAAGTTGTTTAACATGTTTTAAAGTATATTGCATAGAGAAGGAGTACAATTAAATCATTAATTTTCAGAGGTTGTGATCGCATTGTGCCAGTTGATATCTATGTACCAGGATGTCCCTCCAAGTGCAGAAGCTTTACTGTATGGGATATTACAATTACAAAAGAAAGTAAAGAGAATGAAGACAATTCAAATATGGTACAGGAAATAAGAGTGTTGGTTTTTCAGATGGATTAGAAAACGAATGAGTAATTGTAAAATATCCTCAGTTACAATAAATGTAATCATGTAGCATCAAGCAATGTTACTCTTTTTTTGTTATAATACATTTTTCTTTTCATACAGTGATCAATATTTCTGTGCAAAATACGTAGTAAATAATAAAGAGGAACAACAAGTTTGCACATTAGAAAAACTGCATCTGTGGTATGCTTTATTTGAATTCATTATAAACATAAGAAATTAAAGACTAACTGAAAATATAACTTAAATTAGAGATGCTATAAATATCCCACTGCCCATTGCTCCTTTTCTAGTGTTAGTCATAAAAGTTGCATAGAGATAATGATATAAGTACTTACTCAATACTTTCTTCAGGTATGAAGTATTGTTTGTGTTGATACATAGTAACGAAGTACCAAGTAGGTATCTACAGAAAGTACTCATATTCGTTAAAAGTAGTAACTTTTATCGGTAATACAACATATGAATTACCAGCTATGTTGTTATATAAAAAAAATTATGAACCGGTCACACTAATAGCCATCTATATAAAAAATATTGTTTTGTGAATCAAATATTGATATTTTCGAAATCATTGAATCCATTAGAAGAATGGGTGGATATACTTACCTGTATTTCAATCAGAAAGAAGAGAGAGTTATTTTAAATCTTGTCAGGGCCCTGCAAAAAGCTGTTTTCCGAAGATGGCTTAAAAACACTGCATCCAGAAATCGCTTAACAGCAGACTTTTCTTCGAGTTCTTTTTTTCTGACTTATGTCTTTAAAGCATTAAGCAGTAATAAAAATTTGTTTAAATAAAAAAATATTTACCGATTTTATATAGTCGTTATGAATAATATCAATGCTTAAAAAATTATCGATTAAAGTATCGATACTTTGTGTTAGCGCAAGCTGAAGTCCCCTCTCGGGTCCCGGGGCCCTTGAGTCTAGTCACTCAAAGGTGCGTCCGCCAAAGCGCCCTAAGAGTTTGGTAGCCTCCCACATCGGTAAAAATAATTATAGCGTGACGGCCCGGGCCGAGGCTCCTTCGGGAGCGATAGAGCATAACACGTATAACCGAGGTTTAGGCTAGGCACCCTGAGCGCCCGGCTACCTCAAGTCCGGTGGACCTGTAAAGGCCCTTAAGGCCAACATTCGTAGATCGTGCCAAAAAAAAAATACCTGCCCATCTCATTTGCTAACTAGTGGCAATATTTAATGTACTTCTCGACAGCTGCACCTACCCAGATACGTGGAAGGAAGGGCATGTCATAGGTATTATTGCCAAATCTAACGAGCCCAGAGAGCGGGCTTCGAACTACCCTCCAATCAGTCTTGAATGAATGAATGAATGAATGAAATTCGCTTCATTGTACACCAGACAAAATTACAAAAGTAACAAACAATTACATAAATGTGCAATTGGCGGCCTTATCGTTTAGGAGCGATTTCTTCCAGGCAACCATGTTACAGAGGATACAATGTCAGATAGGCTCGTACACACCATCCAGGCCTTCCTGTCGAACCGCTCTTTTCGATATCGAGTTGAAAGCACCCTCTCCACAAGCCGCCGCCTCACGACCGGCGTACCACAAGGCTCCTGCCTCTCACCTTTGCTCTTTACGCTCTACACGAGCGATATACCTAAAGACCCCCACGTCAATCTCGCGCTTTTCGCGGATGACACGGCGCTCTTTTATTCAGACCGCAACCTTAGACAACTAACCACTCGACTCCAAAGCGCTGCCGACCGCCTCGGCGATTGGTTCCGCAAATGGAGAATAGAAATAAATCCCGAAAAGAGTGTGGCGATTCACTTCACACGAAGTACTTACCCGTCACATCTTTACAATGGCCCTCGTCAATGCAGAAAGTTGGGGCAAATATCCCTTTATGGCCAACCGCTCCCCTGGGAGAAAAAGGTCAAATACTTAGGAGTCACTTTCGACTCGCGTATGTCATTTACTACGCACATTAATAACGTTAGCAATAGAGCCGCGTTCGTCTCCGGTCGGCTACACAATTTAACTAACGTTAAAAGTAAAATGCCCTTAAGGCACAAAATTATATAAGACCTGCGTACGACCTATTATGTGTTACGCATGCATGACCTTCGCCCACACGCACCCTACTCGCTTGTACAAGTTGCAAATAGTATAAAATAAGTTCATCCGCCGCGCAACCGGTGCGCAGTGGTATCAACGCAACGTCGATCTGCACAGCGATTGCAGACTCCCGACGATTCACGAATATTTTAAAGACCTGACCAAACGGTTCTTCGATAGAGCCGAACATCATCCCAACCCTCTGGTGGTAAGCGCAGCAAATTACCAACCCGACAAAAACGCGAACGTCAACAAGCGTCGCCCGCGAAACGTCCTAATCGACCCGGTCGAGGAAGGGGACTTAGACACGCCGGACCCACTGCCGGGGGTCCCGCCGGACAACACTACACCCACAGTTAGTGCAACAACAAACACACACTAGTTCGCCCTCGCCTCCGAGCACGGCGAGACCAACACAACGCGTACACAAGGTACACCCGCGTTCCGGGGCGGTTCTCACCGCCCCCAGCCACCGATTAGCTAATTGCACAGTCGACGGCCATCGGGGTTCGGTCCGAACCACGACCTCGATGGCCCTTAGATGACACACCATAGTTAAACGCACGCATGAGCACATGCGTGGCCCTACCCACAGCGGAGGGCCCAAACCCGTGGGTTCTGGCTAGCCCACCGGTTCTGCGTCAGATGAAGCTTTAATAGTCTCGGGACTGAAAGCAAAAACATCAGTTAATAAAAGATACAAGAGGATACAATGATCAGTGAGAAGGGTATGAGGTATACGCTGTAGTAAATATGGGTACATGTACACAACACTACTACATGTACACAAATAAATACATATATATATATGTATATCTATGTATGTATGTATAAACAGAAGAAGGGAACGGTAAGTGGACAAAACCCATATAACGCATTCGAAATTTATTTTTAAATAAATTATGAGAAAAAAAAAAAAGAAAAAAGTCATAATACAGAGATAAAATGTTTAGGGAGGAAAAAAGTGAGCTTTGACGAGTCTTTTAAATATTGCCAGTGATTACACCCGCCGGATTTGAAGCGGTAAGGAGTTCCAAAGACTGACCGCTTCGACAGAAAGTGATTTGGAGTAGAAGGAATAATTATGAGGGAATTTTTAAGGTCAGGTTATTATCGGAGAGAAGACAGTGACAGTGAGTGTTACTGAGGAACTCCAATCTCTCTAAGATAAGGAGGGGAAGTAGGATTGAATAGAATACAGTATAAAAGAGAAAGAATATCTGTCAGTCTTCTCTCTGCTCTGGGGAAAATATATGAACGCATCATTCTAGCAAGGATCAAAAAATGCCTTCATGTACCAAACATTATACCCCACGAACAGTTTGCTTTTAGAGCCGGACACTCGAGCGTCCTACAAGTGCACCGCCTCACGGAGTACATACTTGCAAGTCGCCATTCAGCCTACATGAGAAAAGATAATAGGGTAAGAATTCTCTAATTCGAAGTCGAGAAGGTGTTCGATAACCTGGCATAACTGCTTAATATTTAAGGTGTTATACGAGACTACTTATCGAACCGCCGCTTTCAATTCTCTCCCGCCCCTTTAGAGCGGGCTCACCACAGGAATCAGTGAGCGAAAACCTTTATTCGCTATATACAAGCGACATCCCCTGGACCCATAAGGTCGAGTTGGCTTTATACGCCGACGACACAGTATTATTCGCGTCCGCTTGCAATGGGCATTAAACGCCATCGGCAAATGGTTCAGAATGTGGCGAATCGAGTTAGACCCGGAGAAAAATAAAGAAGTCATGTTTAATTGCCAATCAGGCAAAAACCTCACTCCCGTTAAATTATACAGCCAACCCATTACATGGGAAATTTAGGCCAAATATCTCGGCTTCACTTTAGAAGTCTAGACTGCCCCCTTCTCACCTTCAAAGAATACATGCGCGCAGTAGTCAATAAGGCTTTTGTGATGTTTCGCCTAGCTCCTCTCACTAGATGCACAAAATGTCGCTAAAACATAAAATACATTTGCATCGCCCCTTAAATCCGTTGGTGAAAGCTTTCGGAATCTATTCCGACTTCCTCGGATCGTGCATCCGAGACTGCGCCGTCCAATAAACATTATAGACGATCCAGACGACACACTTACGCGCGATTAATATATTTAATAATCAGCCGCCGCTGTCTAGACGGCATACCACAATCAGAGGCGGTCGATGAGGCCACGTAGCCGCGTCGACATAACGCCGAACGAGGCGCCATCTGCCACGAATCCCCCCCGCGCGCAGTTCATCCCGTAACACACAACGCACTAACTTACATACATACGGCTCAGCGCATTCGACGGCGAATGCGAGGTCTCAGATTCGCGGCTAACACGCGACATATTAAACATACATGACATAGAGAATGTAGTGTGTGTAGTTCTGGTCGTTTTTGTATCATTGCTTCATGTTTCATTGTTATTTATTGACGAGTGTATAGGCGCTCGCCCAGTCAGATAATACCCCCCAGTCAGATAATAGCTACCGATCGAGCCGAGGTCCGGCCCTCTCGGGCACCCTCGAATCGGAATGCTAAACGCGTGCTGAGTGACAGCCCAAGCCGAGGTCCCCTCTCGGGGACCCTTGAGCCTCACTCCATGGAGCGCCCGCCAAAGCGCCCTAAGAGCTTGGCGGCCTCCCAAACCGGTAATAATAATAGCGTGACGGCCCGAGCAGAGGCTCCCCCGGGAGCCCTCGAGATTAGTCACCATAACGCGTAATAATAGCACGCCGAGGTTCAGGCTAGGCGCCTCGTGCGCCAGGCCACCTCAAGTCCGTCGGATCTGTAAAGGGCCCTAAGGCCAACAGTGGCTCATCCAGCCCAAAAAAAAAAAAGCGCTCGTAATCGCTACGTGATTAATTGTATAACATTTTATTTTGTAGACCATGACCAAATTTAATAACTCTGTAAATA